CTCCTTCTTCTCTTCCCCCTTAACGTCAACCTCCTCCTCCTCGTCCTCCTCCTGTTGTCCCCCCTCCTCTTTTTGCTCCTCCTAATCATCCTTCTCCTCCTCCTCTTCCTCGTCGTCATCCTTCCCTTTCCCTCCTCGCCCTTTCTTCTTTCCCTTTCCTCCTCCCCCGCGCCTCGCCCTCGCCCTCCTTTTCCTCCTTCCTCCTCCTCCTTTTCCTCCCCCTCCTCTTCCTCCAACTCCCTGTGGCGTGGGCGTTTGGGTGTGCGCCACCATGGGCTGGTCCTTGTTGCCGCTGTACAAGTGTCTGTCGTTGCTCGCTCTCTCTCTGCCTCTCTCTCTCACTCCCTCTCTCTCTCTATCTCTCTTTCTCTCTCGCTCTCTCTCTCTCTCTCTCTCTCTCTCTTTCCTCTCTCCACACAGATATATATATATATATATATATATATATGCCCATCTATGTTTCAGCATGTAATATTATTTATACACGGCCCCCAATCCCTTACTCTTCTTCTGCCCTCCTCCTCCTCCTCCTCCTCCTCCCCCTCCTCTTTCACCTCCGCCTCCATGTAGCGTGGGTAGTTGGGTGTACGCCACCCTGGGCTAGTCCTTGTCTCCGCGACTGCTCGCCATACATATCCTTATTCATATATCTTTATTGGGCCGGGGACCCCGGAAAAAGCGCGCCTCCCTCTCCCCACCTAACGAATTTAGCGCACAGCCCCCCAGACGACCTGGGAGAAGTTCACGAGAGCCCGAAGACGGCCCCAGAGGGCCCCAGACGTTCCGGCGCGCTCTCGAAACGACCCTAGAGAGCCCCAAGACGGTCGACGACGATCCCAAAGGAGCCGTCATACCCCCAAAGATCGTTCCAAATCTTCCCAAGAGGCCTCCAAGACCAGTCCCAAGAGGGCCCCAAGAGGCAAAATTCTAGACGCTTCGCTTCGCGTATCCCCACCAGCTCATCCAGAAACTATGTCCAGGCGAGTTGAGGTGACCATGGAAGTGCAGGAGCAAAGAGGGTGACGGCCGAACCGTGCTAAGGAGGGAAGAGGAGAATGAGGAGGCTGGATGGATGGATGAGGGTGCGGGGAGAAGGAGGATGAATAGGATGATCGGGAGGAGGAGGAGGAGGAGGAGGAGGAGGAGGAGGAGGAAGAAGGAGCAGGAGGAGGAGGGCAAGCAAAAGGGCCAGAGGTCTCTTGGATGCCTCTCGGAGCCTCTTGGGGTATCTCTTGGGCGCTTCTTGGTGGCCTCTTGGGACGTCTTGGGGACTCTGTGCGGTCCTGGGGGGGCTTTTTGGCGTCTTGGGCGCCTCGGGGGGCCTCTTGGGGCCGCTTGGGGTCCTCTTGGGGGCCTCCTGGGGGCCTCTTTGGGCCATCTTGGGGCCATCTTGGGACCTCTTGGGGCCTCCTGGGCGCCTCTTAGGACCATCTTGGAGAAGAAGAGGGGGGCTTATTCTAGCGTTGCCCCCCCAAGAGGCCAAAATGGGGCCAAAACCGTCGTAAAACCAATGATTGTGGCTTCCTCGCCGAGGCCGTTTTGGGCGCTCTAACAGCCAGCGACCGGCCCCGTCCAGGTCCAGGGGAGGGGGTAGGGGGGTGGGGTAAACCTTTCCACCGAAGGGGAAGAAGGGGGGTGGTGGAGGAAACTCCCTGAACCACCTACGCCCCAGAGGGCTGGTGGGATTCATTGATTTTCCGATGGTTTGTGGGGGATGTTTGAGTTCTCCCCTTTTCGGCTTCCCGACGCTCCAAGACGGCCCACGAGGCAGATCGCCTTAAGATGGCCCGACAGACCTCCAAGAGGGCCCCGAACTGGCCCAAGAGGGCCCCGAGACAGTCCCGACAGGGCCCCAGGAGGCCCCAGGAGGTGCCCAAGAGGCCCCGAAGAGGCCCCAAGAGGCCCCCAAGAGGCCCCCAGGAAGCCCAAAGAGGTTCCCAAGAGTCCCAAAAGATCCCGCAAGGACCCCACAGAAGTTCGAGATCGCTCCACATCGTCCCAAGAGGCCTCCAAGACCACTCCCAAGAGGGCCCCAAGAGGCAAGATTCATTGATTTTCCGAGGGTTTGTGGGGGATGTGCGAGTTCCCCTTTTCGGCTTCCCGACGCTCCAAGACGGCCCACGAGGCAGATCGCCGTAAGATGGCCTGACAGACCTCCAAGAGGGCCCCGAACTGGCCCAAGAGGGCCCAGAGACAGTCTCGACAGGGCCCCAGGAGGCCCCAGGAGGTGCCCAAGAGGCCCCGAAGAGGCCCCAAGAAGCCCCCAAGAGGTACCCAAGAAGCCCAAGAGGTTCCCAAGAGTCCCAAAAAAGATCCCGCAAGGACCCCACAGAAGTTCGAGATCGCTCCAAACCGTCTCAAGAGGCCTCCAAGACCACTCCCAAGAGGGCCCCAAGAGGCAAGAGTCATTGATTTTCCGAGGGTTTGTGGGGGATGTGCGAGTTCCCCTTTTCGGCTTCCCGACGCTCCAAGACGGCCCACGAGGCAGATCGCCGTAAGATGGCCTGACAGACCTCCAAGAGGGCCCCGAACTGGCCCAAGAGGGCCCAGAGACAGTCTCGACAGGGCCCCAGGAGGCCCCAGGAGGTGCCCAAGAGGCCCCGAAGAGGCCCCAAGAGGCCCCCAAGAGGAACCCAAGAAGCCCCAAGAGGTTCCCAAGAGTCCCAAAAAAGATCCCGCAAGGACCCCACAGAAGTTCGAGATCGCTCCAAATCGTCCCAAGAGGCATCCAAGACCATTCCCAAGAGGGCCCCAAGAGGCAAGACTCATTGATTTTCCGAGGGGTTGTGGGGGATTTTTGAGTTCTCCCCTTTTCGGCTTCCCGACGCTCCAAGACGGCCCACGAGGCCTCCAAGGTCGCCCTGAGACGGCCCGGCTGAGCTCCAAGAGGGCCCCAAGCCAGCTCAAGAGGACCCCACACCGGCCCAAGAGGGCCTCCAGGCAGTCCCGACAGGGCCCCAGGAGGCCCCAGGAGGTTCCCAAGAGGCCCTCAGAGGACCCCAGAGGCCCCCAGGAAGCCCCAAGAGATCCCCAAGAGTCCCAAAAGATCCCGCAAGGACCCCTTCAGATGTTCGAAAACACCCGAAAAGGCCCCCAAGATCCCAAGACAGCCCAGAACGGGCCAGGAGCCCGAACATGACCCTAAGACAGCCCAACAGAGCCAATGTGCGCCCCAAGACGGGCCCAAGCCATAACCGAACTGCACCACGTCCCACAGAGGCCTTCAGAAGGCTCCAGGAGGCTCCAATAAGGTCCACGTGACGTTAACACTCTGAACGCCAGGCCTCCCAAGAGCGTACGGCGGCGCAAAACAATTTCAGCGTCGAGATAATTGAGCCCCGCTGCGACACGGTCCCGAGGCCCCCCAAGGCCCTCACATGGCGCTTTCCATAGTCCCAAAGACACGGCCATTTGTAAGCCCAGGTCGCCGCTCCATATTCTGCCGTGTCCTCCATGCCGTCTCCTACCCAGGTCTTTCGGCACTCGCGAGCCTTTCATTACTTTTCTGCCCCCCCCTCTGTGGCCACGACTGCGTACATGTAGGTAGATTTGCATCTGTGTACAATGTGTACACGTAGATCTGCCCAAGTAGACATGATACATGCGTATGCATATTTATATATATATATATATATATATGTATATATATATATATATATATATGTGTGTATGCGCATGTGCGTACACCAACATATCCACACGTGTCTATGTATATACACACACACCATACATGTCTATGACGTGGATGCACATATTCTCGCGCGCATGTGCACGCGCACGCGTCGCCCGTGCGCGAAACTCGAAAGACCAAGGTGCATGACGCGAAGCGCCACTGCAGTCTTGCATTTACATATCTCTATATATTCCTCTTCCTATATTTTTATAAGCCCGGGCGGGGGGAAAACCCATCCCCCCCCCCCCGAAACCGGACTCCCGGGACCTGGGGCTTTGGGGCCCTCCGGACGGGCCTCGAAGCGGCCACCAGGCCTCGCAAGGCGTTTTGCCAAGCCTTCCCAGCACACTTAGGGCGATCAGGGGGGTCATCGGAGACGTCCCAGAGACCCCCACGACAGCACAAGAGCGCTCCAAGAGTGACCGACGTGACCTCAAGATGGCCCAAGAGGCCTCCAGGACGGCCCCAAATAGGCCTCCAAGAGCACTCCCAAGAAGGCCCCCCGAGGCAAAAATCATTGATTTTCTGTGGTTTTTGGGTGAATTTTGGGGTTCTCCTCTTTTCGGCTTCCCGACGCTCCAAGACGGCGGTCTTCCGGGCGTCCGAAGCCGCCTGGGAGGCTCCCAACTCGCCCCACAACCATCCGAGAGGGCTTCCAGGCAGTCCAAGAGAGCCCCAAAACGGCACAACACGGGTCCAAGATGGCCCTCAGAGAGCCCCATGGCGGCCCAAGATGGCCCAAAGACACCCTCCGAAGAATTCCAAATCGTGATTCGGTCGTTCAGGGAGACGGCGGTTGGAGGCAGGGTGGCCCGAGGAAGCCCCCGGAGGCCCCCAGAATACGCCCAGGAGGCCTCCAGAAGGCCTTAAGAAAGCCCGAAACAACTTTTGTGAGGCCCCTAGAGGCTCTCCAAGGAGGAGCCTCCGCAAAAAAGAGCTGAGGAGGATGGGAGAATGCGCAGGGTATGGCGAAAATAAGGAACAATAAGCATGGAGGAAGGCTAACGAATAACATCATTATAGCGGTGATGCCGGAAAAGGCAACCAGGAGTTATTGCTAAATTGTCGGTTTGACCTTCCTGCCATTCCGCCTGCATGCCAAACTCGAAGGACCAAGGTGCATGACGCGACGCGCTACTGCAGTCTTGTATTTACATATCTATATAAATATATATAAACATATATATATATATATGTATATATATATACATATTCATATACACACATCTACTCCCTTCTCCCCCCCTCCTTTCTCTGCCCTCCACCTCCTCCTCCTCCTCCTCCTCCCCCTCCCCCTCCTCCTCCTCCTCCTCCTCCTCCTCCTGAGGACCTCGCCCTCGGCGTCGGGCCGCGGCCTCCGGTTCCGGCGACGGCGTTGCTGGGCCGGGGCTTGGGCATCCCGGGGGGGACGGGGGGCGTCCGCCTCCGTCCTCTCCCCCCTTCCTGAGCTGCTTCCTCTCCTCCGGCCGATCCCTGCATCTCCTTGTGCCTCCTCCTTTTATCGCCCTTCTCCTCATCTACCTCTCCTCTACCTCCTCCTCTACCTCCTCCTCTACCTCCTCCTCCTCCTCCGCCTCCTTCTCCTCCTCCTTCTCCTCCTCCTCCTTCTCCTACTTCTCCTGCTCCTCCTCCTCCTTCTCCTCCTCCTCCTCCTCCTCCTCCTCCTCCTCCTCATCATCGTCATCATCATCATCATCATCACCATCACCATCACCGTCATCAGCATCAGCATCATCATCAGCATCAGCAGCATCATCATGGTCATGATCATCAACATCATCATCATCATCATCATCATCATCATCATCATCATCATCAGCAGCATCATCATCATCATCATGATCATCATCATCATAATTAGCATCATGATCAGCATCAGCATCATCACGATCATGAACATGATCATCATCGTCATCGTAAGATGTATCATCATGAACACAAGGATCAGCATGACCACCATCATCATCATCATCATCATCATCACCATCACCATCACCATCATCATTATCATCATCATATTCTCCATCAACGTCATCAGCAGCATCAACATCACCATCAGAATCAGCGGCAGCACCATCATCATCAGCAGCAGCACCATCATTATGACGTCCATCATCATCATCATAGTCATCGTCATCTTCATAAGCATCACCATCATCATCGCATGTATTAACATCAGCATCATCGTCATCATCGCCATCATCGTCATCAGCATCACCATTATCATCCTCTTCGTCATCCTCATCATCCTCATCCTCATCCTCATCATCCTCATCATCATCCCCTATCCCCGTCCCTACCCCTATCCCTATCCCTCCTCCTCCTTCTCCTTGTCCTCCTCCTCCTGATCCTCATCCTCCTGTCGTTGTCGCCGATGGCACTGGATCCGAATACGGAGCAGCCCACCCTCCTCCTCCCTTCTTCACCTCCTCCTCCTCTTCCTCCGCCTCCTCCTCCTCCTCTTCCTCCTCCTCCTCCTCCTCCTCCTCTTCCTCCTGTCGCTGTCGCTGGTGGCACTAGATTCGAATACAGAGCAGCCCACCCTTCTCATCCTGCTCCTCCTCCGCCTCCTCATATTTGTCCTCCTCCTCGTCCTCCTCCTCAAACTCCTCAACTTCCTCATCCTCCTTCTCCTCCTCTTTTTTGGTGTCAGAGCGACCTTCCCTGCAAGCTGTGGCGTTCTTCCTCCTCTTTCCTCCTCCTCCTCCTCTTCCTCTTCATCGTCCTTCTCTCCTCCTACTCCTCCGGCACCTCCCTCCTCTACCTCCAGGGACGTCCTTGTCCCCCTCCACCCCATCATCTCGGTCTCCAGCCCTCTTTCCAGGCGATAAACCCCGTCAGAGGGGCGAGGGTAGCCCGCGTGTCCGCGTATCCACATATGCAGGGTTGGTGGTTTGTTCGCTATTGAAGCCACGATTGAACAGGCAGTCAAGTGTCTCGTAGTTGTCTCTCGCTTGTGTCGCTGTAGATGGTTGACACCCCATAGCCGACCTCGCCTCGCATCTCGATGTGCCTCCTTCCCCTCGCCAATCCTCGTTCTCTATTTCTTCCCCTCCCCGTCCCCATCCGCCTCCTCCAGCTCCTGACGCGAGTTTTGGATCGGATCGAGTCCGATCGTTGGCCAAAGGCTCTGAGCAAGGCCGAGCTGCCCGGCCACCAGGGTCAGGGGAATTCACCCCTGCAAGTCCTGAGGGGCAACCTTCAGGGGGGGTAGGCTCCGGGGAGGGCGCATCGACCCCAACCGCCCATTGATCGCCGATAGGGGACTGGTTCCCCACCCCGCACAGGCCCGCGGAGGAGGAGAAGGAGGACGAGGAGGAGCCCCACATGCTCGCGTCGTCAATAAAAATCGCGATGGGTGGTTCTGGCAATTTTCACCCTCCGGAGGCCCTCACCGGGCGCCGGGGCCATCAAAAACCGGCCGAGGCTGAAAAAACGGTCACCCGCAAGGGGTCCAAAATTACCGTTTTTCGGGGGGAGGGGATTACGGAGCCAGGCGTGACACCCGCTGCCCGCAGTTACTTTCGGCGTCAACCCAGGGCGCGTTCCTCAGTGGGCGCTTCTGGTGCTTGGAGGCGCCAGGAAAACTAGCTACGTAAGCTGATTCGTCAACCCTGAGCGGCGGCCACAACGGGGTGGCGCGAAGGGGTGGGGCGACGTTCTAAGAGGGGGGAGGGGCTTCTTGGCCCAGGCGGGGGCCCTTTTAGCAAGATCTAAGGGCCTCTGAGGAGGTTTTTGTTCGGGCGCTGGGTAGTGGTGGGTCGATGAAGTGGGGGGGCGACGAAAGGTGCACTTCTGCTGCCCGAGAGGAGCCCTAGAGGGAACCCGTGAGGCCCAGAAGAGGCACGAAAGGTGTGCATTTCTCCCCCCTCACCCCCCAATTGTCGCCCCATCAGTCTAGGCCTCCTAGATGGGGTCCGAGCAGATGGGGTCGGAGGATGGCGCCGCATCGCCAATGCGGCTCGATGCGGAGCCCGACTCGATGTGGAGCCCGATTTTCTTCACGCCAACGGCGCCGATGCCTCGTCGACGTCGCCGAGGCATCGGGGATGTATCGCCGATGCATCGGCGATGCGGTGCCATCCTCCGACCCCATTCAGAAGCCGGGCGAAGGTTGGCAAACCCGTGGCTGCTAAATCGGAGCTCGGGGAAGTTGGTTCTTCTCTTCCGGGAAGCAGCCCGTTTACTTTTTGGTGCGCCGAGCTTTCTTCCGAGAATATGTATCTTTCTTCCGGGAAGACCGCTTTAGCAGCCACGGATTTGCCAGCCTTCGACCAGCTTCCGACCCCATCTTCTACGACCCCATTTCCGGAGGGTTCCAAAAGGGGTTTGGGGGAAGGTTTTTTTCCAGCAGGGGTCCCCCAGGGGCTTCGCACCCCCCGTTTTGACGAGGTTCCGAGGGCCCTGGGGGGCTCTCTGGAAAACCCCCTTCCCCCAAACCCCTTTTGAAATCCTCCAGGACCCCCACGACAGGGGTACGTTTCTCCCGCCCCCATTTGTCGCCCCGTGAATCTAGGCCTCTTAGAGGGGGTCCGAGCAGCTGGGGTCGGAGGATGCGGTGCCATCATCCTCCGACCCCATCTTCTCGGACCCCATTTCCGGAGGGTTCCAAAGGGGGTTTGGGGGGGGGGGGGTTTCCAGAGAGGCCGCCCCCCCCATGCAAGGGCCTCGGACCCCCGTCGAAACGGGGGGTGCGAAGCCCCTGGGGGACCCCTGCTGGAACCCCCCTCCCCCCCAAACCCCTCCCCCACCTTCTCGGACCCCATTTTATTCTGCACGAACGAACTGGGTACGGAAAGAATGGGTACAATTTCCAACTGCATTTCCTGTTCATTTTGAACAGGACTTGCTACCCGCGCTGCTATCCGCGCCGCCGCGGCCTGTGTCCATTCGAGAGAAGGTCGCCGCCGAACAGCGGCCGCTGTTGGTTTGGAACAACATTTGTTGTTGGGCATTGTACCCATTTTTTCGTACCCGTTTCGGGCGTCCAAATTCTTGAGCGCCCAGTTCTCATGCCTGCGCAGAGGGACCCCTCCTGGATAACCCCCTCCAAAAAAAAAACCTCTGGAACCCTCCAGGAGGAGGAGGAGGAGGAGGAGGAGGAGGAGGAGGAGGAGGAGACGGAGGAGGAGGAGGAGGAGGAGGAGGATCGAGGAGGGCTTTCGACCCCGTCTTCTCGGAACCCATGCCACGAGCGCCCAGTTCTCATGCCTTCGCAGAGGGCCCCCCCCCCGCCTTCCTGCGGCAGAGGCCGCCCCTCTCGCGCCACCGCCCCCCTTCTGAGGCGGCGCCGCCCGCTGGAGGCCCCTCCTCTGCCGCGGGCCCCCCCCTTCCTCGGGAGGGACGGCTGGACGCAACTCGGGCCAGTCCCTCTACAGGGGCAGGGGGGACATTCAGAAATGGTGAAACAAAATGAATCTGGGGACAATTGTTTCACTATGTTTGGCCATTTGGGGGTCTGTTGTCGACTGCGTGTAATTGTTCCTCCAAAATCCGCCTGTAGGGGGACACGCCCGACCTAAAGCTAGGCACAAGCACGAATCAACGCTGATTCCCATGAAGACAGCGGAAAAGATGGGACGTGGAGGGGGACGAGGGAAACGCAGGAAGTGCAGCAAGCGGTGGGAATCCTGGGATCTGTGTCGACCTGCCTGTGCCCCCCTGGGGCCCCTTTCCTTGCCTCCGCCCCGAGCGCCGCCACCGCCCCAGATCCCCCCCCGGGGGCCCGCTCGGGACCCATGCCCTGGGCCACCTCTGGCCGGCCGTCCGCGACATTAGCCCCAAGCCCGAACGTCCGACTGGATGATTGCGAAGGCCCTACGGCCGGTGCCGCCGACCCTGCATGGCGACGACGACGACGACGACGACGACGACGACGACGACGACGACGACGACGACGAGCGCTCTTGGGGGCCTCTTGGGGGTAGTTTGTGGGCCTCTTGGGAAGCTCTTAGGGGCCGCTTGCGTGGCTCCCGATCTCTATCGTCGGCTGTCACTTCGCTCGGGAGCTCCCGAGCGAAGTGAACCCCGCCCTCCCCCTCAGAAATCGTAGGGGGTAGGGGTAGGGTTCGCATCTGGCCCCTTATAGATGATCCTCTCCGTGCGCGGCTCCCGATCTCTATCGTCGGCTGTCTGGCTCGGCGTGTCGACGACGACGAGCGCTCTTGGGGGCCTCTTGGGGGTAGTTTGTGGGCCTCTTGAGAAGCTCTCAGGGGCCGCTTGCGTGGCTCCCGATCTCTATCGTCGGCTGTCACTTCGCTCGGGAGCTCCCGAGCGAAGTGAACCCCGCCCTCCCCCTCAGAAATCGTAGGGGGTAGGGGTAGGGTTCGCATCTGGCCCCCTATAGATGATCCTCTCCGTGCGCGGCTCCCGATCTCTATCGTCGGATGTCTGGCTCGGCGTGTCGACGACGACGAGCGCTCTTGGGGGCCTCTTGGGGGTAGTTTGTGGGCCTCTTGGGAAGCTCTCAGGGGCCGCTTGCGCGGCTCCCGGTCTCTATCGTCGGCTGTCTGGCTCGGCATGTCGCGCCGCCGGCTCTGACCCACCACGCCTCGGCGCGACACGCCGTCCGCATGCCGGTCCCCCAGCGTCCACGCCCCGAGCCCTTCCGAGCCGCCCCGCTCCTCCTCTCTCCTCCTCCTCCTCCTCCTCCTCCTCCTCCTCCTCCTCCTCCTCCTCCTCCTCCTCCTCCTCCTCCTCCTCCTCCTCCTCCTCCTCCTCCTCCTCCTCCTCCTCCTCCTCCTCCTCCTCCTCCTCCTCCTCCTCCTCCTCCTCCTCCTCCTCCTCCTCCTGGCCCCGCGGAGCGGGGCGGCACGCCATCCGCTCGCAAGACTCTGCGTGTCGCAGGGGCCGCCGCTGCGACACGCCACGCGGCACGCCAACCAGCAGAAAACAAAGAAGAAACAGTCCCGGACCGTATTCGAGATCGAGGGGAGGAGGAGGAGGAGGAGGAGGAGGAGGAGGAGGAGGAGGAGGAGGCGGAGGAGGAGGAGGAGGAGGAGGACTCAGGATGACGAGGAGGAGGATGACGAGGATGGCCCCTGGAGGCCCGACAGCGGGCCCCCCCCTCGAGACGAAGATCGGGTCAGAGCGCCCAGGTTGAAAACCGCACATCGCCAGGGATCTGGGCAGAAGCCCTGCTGGCGGCGTCCCCCAGCGGACCTCCCCCCCGGGGCGATCCGCAGCAGCGTCGCGCGGGTGGACTCCAGCTCCGGCGGCGCCAAGCTCTTGGTGCGGCTGCCCGGCGGCCGGCACGTCGAGACGGCCATCATCAGGAGTGGCATTGTTCCTCCTTCTCCTCGTTTTTCTGCTCGTTGTTCTCGTCGTCCTCCTCCTCCTCCTCCTCCTCCTCCTGCTCCTCCTCCCCCTCCTCCCCTCCTCCCCCTTCTCCTCCCCCTCCTCCTCCTCTCCTCCTCCTCCTCCTCCTCCTCCTCCTCCTCCTCTTCCTCCCCCTCCTCCTCCCTCCTCCTCCTCCTCTCCTCCTCCTCCTCCTCCTCCTCCTCTTCCTCCTCCTCCTCCTCATCCTCCCCCTCCTCCTCCTCCCCCTCCTCCTCCTCCTCTTCCTCCTCCGCCTCCGCCTCCTCCTCCTCCTCCTTCCTCCTCCTCCTCCTCCTCCTCCTCCTCCTCCTCCTCTTCTTCCTCCTACTCGAACGGTAGCCTACTCGCTGCTGCTGTCTTCTTTGCCCTGTTCAAGCTTCTCCCTTTTCCCGCTGCCACACGGGCCCGGGTAGCCGGCAGTGCACCCGCGCCCATGTTGGACGCGTATCAACAGTATTCTCTGCACCCGCAGGAAAGGTACCCCTTCATCGTACCATCCGTTTTCATAGTTGGTAGCGGAGCACAGTTCCGATCGACCCTTCCTGCCGCAATGGCCGCTCGGCACCTCCGCCCGCCTCTTGTTCGCCTTCCTTTGCATCATCATCTCCACCGCTTTCGGCAAGGATGATCAAGTTCTTCTTGCCTTCAGTATTCATGGTCCTCGTGTCCGCTAAGTCGGAAGACAAGGACCCTTACAAGTACAAGGACATCGGCGAGAACCTCCATGAGCGCGGCGCCACCCCGCCGCTGCCTGTTTGTTTGTCCCCCAGGGTGTGCTCCAACTATGTCGGAGGCGTTCTCGGAACCACAGTCTTGTTTTCGAATGAAATCAGGGAATCACCTTCGTTCACATCAGCAGCCGCAGTGGCCCCGAACTTTTCGCAATTATGTCGCAGGGGCCCTGGTGAATGCTGTCGGAAAAGAGTTGGGATAAGAGCTTAGGCATTAAATGGAGTGTTGGACAACTATGTGTCATCTTGCCAATGGACACTGAAATAGGTCTGGGACGACCTGTCTTCGTTCTTTTGGTACGCGACATATTGTCACACCCGCCGATTCCCTTCAGACTGGCAGGGCGAGATCCCGATGCGCACTCCTCTGGACGGTCGCGCAGGTGGCGGCACCCAGCACAAAGACGACGCGACGCAAGAGGGGCATGTCCACAACTACGTTGCGCAATGTCCCGAGTGCGGCGAACGCAATGACGACGCGACGCACGAAGGGCACATTCGCAACTATGTTATTGAATGTCCCGAGCGCGGCGATGGCCACAACGGCACGAAAGAAGACAATGCCAAAACGCTGACAAAGAGGAGCACATTCGGGGCAGGGGGCCCCGGCCTCCAGCACGTCCTTGACCAGGGGATCTCCACTTCGGACGGAATGCCATCGGATTGGGCACGCTTGCCCTGGCCAGCTGCCTCGCCCTCATGGACGCAGGTGGCGGCAACGGCAGCGCGCGGCACCTCCGCACCTGGGGGCCCGAGCAGCAATCTCGGGTTGCCTTCCA